GATGGATGACGCCGGGCGCCGCGCCGCGTCCCCGCGGGCGCCGTCCCAGCGGGTCCCACGCCACACGCACCTGCAGTGCACCCTGGACGCGCGCGTGTCCGTAACCTCAGCCAACAGGGCCTTTAGCCTGGACCTCCGCAGGTCCAGCCCGCAAGGAGCCCGCCGCTTTTTACAACTCTCGACCGAGCCCCTTCGGAAGCCCTTGCACACCTCCCTGGCTCCAGCTGCAAGGCTTGCAGGCCAGTCCGACCGACCCCGCGCTCCCACCGCACCCCTGCTTCCTCCCCCGCGGCCCAAGGCCTTTACACCCGAGTCCCGGGCCGGCTCGGCAGGTCTGTCCCTCAGCGGCGCCTGCAGCGACCACCACATGCCAGGGCTTGCTTTGGGGCGGGCGGGCAGCCCAGGAGAGACAGGCACTCGTCGAGCCCCCCACGGATCCCTACAGAGGAGCCGTGCCAGGAGCCGCAGAGCACTAGGTGCTCACGCGCGCAGTTCGACAATGGAGGCCAGCGGGGCAGAAGGGAGCGCTGGGGCTCCGCGGCGGGCCAAGGGGTCTTCGAGGGGCAGGGCACCAGGGTCCAGGCGGAAATGCCCGCTGGCCGCTGTGGGATCGCGGGGCCACAGCGCCCCCGCGTGGTCAGATAGCAGAGGCCGGGACCTCTTTGGCCCATGTCCATGGTATGAAGACTGAGACGAAAGAGGGGAAGGGGCCCTGCATAGATGATAATGTGTGTGTCTAAACATGCGAGCGAAAAGGTTTACTGGAGGGAATGACACAGAATGACACCTGTCTTCTCACTGACTGAGGCACACAAGGACTTCAAAAACTCAAGGGAAAATAGAATGCCAAGATACTAGAATTTTCCATGAACTCTTGAAGCCCCCATATGCCTATTTAATTTGTGAATGGACAATATATTTTAAAAGTACAAAGAGTGTCCGGGGAACAATCTCTCCGTGCCCCACCCACCTTCAGCCATTCTGTTCTCTCTGGAAACAACAGGGGTGGGATTCTGGTCCATTCTCCTAGGCGTGTCCTATGCATAGATAAGCCAGTTCACACAGCTCTACAAAATAGTTTTTATTACAAAATTCTAAAACCTAAAGGAAAGTTGTAAGAATTGTACAGATAACTTATTACTTTGCTGCTATCGGTTTATCAATCTTTATCCAATCTTAAATTTTTCAATGCATTATTTCAAAGTAGCAGACACCAGTACCAATCATCCTGAAATACTTTAGCATACATAATTATTGAGCTCATTATATTTTTAAGGTCAGATTTACACACAAAAAATACACACACACACAAAAGGAAATGCACAAACATGAAGATTGTTCCATGAATCTTAGAATCCATACCAAGAACTGTCTCCACGCCAGCAAACTGCCTATGCCTTTTCCCTGTCTGTCCCCAAGCCCCTAGCCTAGACAGTCACGGTGCTGATATTTTTCATTACAGATGAGCTTTGCCTGATCTAGAACTTCATAAAAACAGAATCCTGGTGTGTATGTGCTCTTTTGCTTAGAATGTTCTTGAGTGTTGTGCATGTTGACATGTATATTAGTAGTGTTCTTTTGCTATTCACCTGAGAATGGACATTTGGGCTGGGCTGTTTTCAAATATACATGGTAAGAACATCATTCTCATCCAAGTCTTTGTGTAAGCAGTTTTGTTTTGTTTTTTCCTGTTGGGTAAAGACCCAGGAGTAGAATTGCTAGGTCATTAGGTATAGTTAGTATCCTTGCCCCCCACCCCTTTAAAAATACAAACAATAGCAGGCTACCTATATGGTTTATTTTTTGCTCTTTCCCACCCCCACCCCCACCCCTAGTTGATTTGGGAGATACTTCTAAATCAGTATATAACAGCAGTTCTCAACCTGTGGATCACAGCCCCTTTGGGGTAGAATGACCCTTTCACAGGGGTCGCCCGATTCATAACAGTAGCAAAATTAGTTATGAAGTAGCAACGAAAACAATTTTATGGTTGGGGGTCACCACCACAGGAGGAAATGTATTCAAGGGTCGCGGCATTAGGAAGGTGGAGAACCCCTGGTCTACAATCTTCCTAGTTCCTCTGCACAGGAGGGAATCCTTTCTGATGGACACAGATGTTTCTAACCTTGAGCTGGTCTTTGAATGACGAACCCTGGGTTTGTTAGTTGGATGGTCTGGGGGAATATTCCAGAGAGGCTGAGAGGCTTAATGGACACTGGTTACCCCCCTGCTGCTGGGCTGACCTCATGGAAGGCCATCTGTCCCCTTACCACACAGGATCTGGCAGCGTGGGTGCTGGGCAGAGGTTCCAGTGTAGGAGAATGGGGTGGGTGCTGTCACTTAAGGTGCCCCTGGCACTCTTAAGACTAGAACATGGGCTGATCTCGACAGGCGAAGATGGGAGGGTTCTACTCTTCTCAACAGATGAACTTCCCAGATCCCTGCCGGCCTAGGCAAGTTGGCAGTGGAGAACAAACCCAGGCTGCAGGACCCCTTGGGGAGCTCCTGGGGATGGGCCTGTTCCCCTGGGCCACTAATTCTCTGCCCTAACCAGGGGCAATATATGGCATTTCTGCTGAGACACCCACTTCTCATTAGTTTGGTCATGGCAGCCCTGGACCCGGACGGCATCTCTCCCGCCGGGCAGGCTGTACACTGGAACGACAGGACCAAGCCTTACGCATCTAAGCGTGTCCTCATGCCTCCCCTCATTGGCCTTTGGGGAATAAAACGGAATTTAAAATCAAGACAATGTGACCAAACAGCTTGTAAAAAGTTAGCTTTATTTGTTACTTGTTCACCTAATCTCAGTGATGCCATTTTGGCGCCCACAGTGACAGTCTCTTAAGTCACGTCATCCCTGCCCCCACCCTGACCATCCAGTGTGAGCTCAGCCTCGCTGGCCCCAACTGGGCAACTCCTGTGCCAACAGCTTCCTGGTTACACGAGGCCTGGCACCCCTCAGTTCACACCTTTGGCTGAGCTAGTTCACTACTGCCATATTCACCGGGGGCTGTAGCAGCCCATGTGGCAGGGCTGGTGGCCAGCCTGGCAGTGGTGCCAGGACTGAGGTGGCCATGGCTGGCAGGTGTGGGGCAGGAAGGGAGTCAGGGCCTCAGAGCCTCCCCTGTGCTCAGGACCGGGGCTAGACAAGGCCGCGTGTGATAGGTGGTAGGCTCAGGGCAGGGGCATCTCCTGATTCTGCTCTTGCTTCCTGGTGGCTTCCGGCAAGTTGCTCCTCCTTCCTGGCTGCCTCAGTTTCCCAGTTAGCCCTGTTGTGAGCTCTCCAGGGAGCCCTGCCCTGACTGCCACCCCTCGTACCAACTCTAGGCTTTGGAACTACTGCATGCTTGCCTCTGCGAGCAGACACCCATAGGCTCTCCTCATAGAACCAAGACCTGCCATCGCCCAAGGGTCATTCAGAGCTTCTAGGTCCCTGATGACTGCAGTGCCCTGGGCCCTGCTTGTCCCTGTTGACATTCAACTGCCAAGACAGCAACTGTTCACTTGGGCACCCGGGAAAGGTCACCTGCCAGTCAGAGAATTGCTTTCAGACACTGTACTGAGTCCTTTCTAGCCAAGCACCACAGCCCGCCCCTCCTCCCTGGGGACAGGACTGGCCCCGTGGGGCGGAGAGCAGCGGCAGCTGGTCATTTACATTACTTGCATTTCATCAGAAGTACAATGAAAAGGTTGAAAAACACACGTGGGGCATTTTTAGTCCAGAAGGTAGAAGTGGCTTGAGGACACAAAGTCACTCTTTCCATCGATTGCGTGCTGACACACCGCCCTCTCAGGGCAGGAGGGAGAAGAGCAAGGTCCACACGGGGAGAATCTGGACAGACAAGATTGTGTCCGGGCTTCTCCCACAAAAACGCCTGTATTAGCGCCACACGGCTCAACTCGGAATCACAGGGCACAGCTAACGAGAGACAATGGGGACGCACACTGTTCTTTCCCGTCTCCAAGCCCGCCGAGGCAGAGGCAGGGAAATACACAGATGGTGGCCAAGGGGGTCTTCTGGGAACTCTACTAGCCTGTGGACAAAGCGCAGCTCTAAACTACTTCTTTTAAAGGGAAACAATTCTGTAGAGAAAGTCCTAGAGTAGAGATGCCCTATCTGGACGGAAGGAGACCGTCTGGTGAGGCTTTTACCCCACTGGTTTCCCAGTCCACCAGAAAACACAGGCTCCCAGCCTGACCCAGAACCACACACACACAAGCAGACAGTTCAATGTTTGTGCTTTCTAGCAGGGGAAAGAATTTCCTTTGTGGGGAAAAGCGGAGGCCACTGCAGCCATGGACAGCACTGAGAAATAAGGTGCAAATAAGGCTAACCGAAAGTTAAATGGGTACTCAAAGACAATCATTTACCGTTTTCACCAGTTCTGACAATCAGCCAAATAAAACCCTCACTGCCAGTTCTTTCTGCCAATGCCAGAATAAGAAAAGGCAAAATTTCACACTGGGAAATCCCCAGCACTTTGCAAAGAGGAATGAAAGAATATGAGATTCAAACACATTATTAAGTGAAGTCCACATGCCACACAGGTGCCTCCTGCAAGAACTTGCTGAGGGAGCTGCTTCTGCTTTGCTCCCACCCCTTCCTGAGAAGTCAGGCGTGGCTCGCTGTCTGGGTTCCTGGTGACAAGGGGCTCAGAACAACAGCGCCCCCATGCTGCCGACCTCACTCTGCTCCTTCACGAAGATCTCAAAGTACTGGTAGATGATGGTGACCGCCAGCAGGATGCCCGTCCCAGACCCGATAGCACCCAGGAAGTCAGCCAGGACGGACAGGGCACCGATGCAGAGCCCGCCAAAGGCTGCGGCTGTGGGGATGTACCTGGGGAGACAGGGGGGCAGGACTGTCAGCCAGATACCACCAGATCCTGCGGGCCCACCGCCCACTCCCAGCCAGGGACCGACCAGCCAAACACAGCCCCCAGAGAATGTGGAAATGTGACTGGTCTGAACAGTGTTGTTAGTGTTAAATGCACCCAAGTCTGAAGATTCCATATGGGGGGAAAAACGTAAAATACCTCCTGAGTTTTTCGCATGCTGATTTTAAGTTGAAATAATTCTGAATTCACAATCCATACGGTCATCCATTGTGTCAAGCATATTTGCACCCCCGACAGCCCTGCTGCATGCAGCTTCCCAGCATGGCCGCTCAAGCTCCTGTCGCAGCCTAACTGGCCTTTTAAGCCACCCCCTCCCCACCTGTTTTCCATTTGTTAGTACTGCCCTTCCTCCTGCTTTATTTTTATTTATTTATTTTTTTTACCTTCCTCCTGCTTTAAACACCCACCAGTCCCTTGATGGGCACCTAGACTTTTCCTGCCCAGTCTCCCCGTCCCTGGCTCTGGTTAACACCCAGACGCCTTCACTTGACTGTGCAGAGCTCGCAGATGACCAGCCTTTTGAAGAAGCATGCTCCACTCTGGGAGCACCCCCATTTCAGAACAGCGCCCCACACACACCCAATGAACACGTGTGAGATTCCTCCCACCACAGCCTGTGCTGGTCTCTGAGAGCTGACCATGCCATTCTGTCTGTCCCTGGGCAGGAAGGTCTCTTGGAGGAGAGGAGCTGCACGTGTTCACTCCAGGACGCCCAGTGGTTCGCAAGTTCATAACTACTGAGGACTCGGGGCTGTTCTACCTGCATCCTGAGGATGAAGTTTGATGAGCCAGAAATTTGGAGGCCAACTAGAATGTGCGATGGAGAAGGAAGTGACACGCAGCTGCTGCGAGGCCGGTGTCATGTTTAAGGCTACAAAGCCGGAGGAACCTGGCCGAACAGACTACTCACCGATTGAGTTCATGGACCATGGAAGTTTCTCGGTGACCTCTCATCACCATCTGCTGCTCCTTCAGCTGCTTTGCAACCTGCATGTGTGAAGTCGGAGGACAGACACACATTTCATGACAGTACTAAACAGGTAAAAATTCTCCTTCCCAACATGGAACACGTGTATAAGTAACTTCACACCACGTCCACTCCTGGAAGAGGTGGGACGCGCGTCCATGTGCACTCACACACCCTTCTCCTTTGATCAGGAGTGGCCCTCATCCCAGGAGCATGGAAGGACGATTGTTTCCCAATGAAAGGTCTCCCCACAAATGCTCATCTACACGTACATCTTTGGCGGAGGATCCGGAGACCTCGATCCACGTCTTGGAGAAGAACGCGCACGAGCCCAGCATGAACACGATGTACACGATGGCATGGACAGGGTCTTCCAACACGGAGCCAAAGGACTCGGGAGGGGACAGGTAGTAGCAGAGCCCACCGACAGGGTAAGCACGTGCGGGGCCCCCAGAAGATGTATCCTGGAAAAAACAGAAAGCCCGTGAGCTGCTGCACACCTGGGCAGCGGGACACAATGGAGACAACCCATTTTACTCAAGAACTCACAGAAGAAAACTAATAGGCTGAAATGTGCCACGGGCACACTGGAAAATAACTGGGTGAAATATTTGCAACTAGCCAGAGCATTAACCTAAGAGTCTGCTTGAAAACAGCCACTTACAGACCAAGTGCCCAGCAGGCTAACAAGCAAGTTGCCGCTGAAGCGAGCGGAGAGCATCTGGGAGATGACGTAGAGGTTGGACACCAGGGCCGACTGCAGGATGATGGGAATGTTGGAGGTGTAGAAGAGCTTGATGGGGTACGTGTTGTACTGGCCTCGGTAACGGGCTGACTTGATCGGCAGGTCCACGCGGAAGCCCTGAGAAACCAAATGACAAACACCTCGTCACTGCCCGCCCGGCTCCAGCGTGTGCCCCGCTGGAGAGGTCTGTGGGGAGAAGGGTCCGGAACACTGGCTCCAGGACTCCCGTCCGAAGGGCTCAAGAGCTTCTGCCCTTCTTTGTCCACTACTCTCCTGGGGATGTGCACCAAGGTTCCAAGAAAGATGGGCTTAACATGCACTAATGCAAAACCCAGTGGGGATTGATGACATTTTGGTAAAAACAAAGCCCATCGTAACACCACACCACATCGTGTGAGCGCAAACAGGCCTGCGCAGGCCCACACCAACACCCTCATAGCAGTCATCGCTTGATTCAGTGTGCCCTCTTCCCCTGGGCCTTGACAGTGGTCCCCGACAAGGCCACCAGACCTGGCACAGCCCCTCTCAGAGATTTTTCATCATAAAGGTGAAACTGTTCTCAGACTACAATTGTTCTCCCTGAATCCTTGAAAGAAAGTTTCTTTTAGAGACTCCTAGTAATCAGGAAAGAGCTCAGAATATATATAATATTTAAAATAAGTTCTTAATCCTACTGCAAATACTAGCCACGTCCTAAAAGAGCTAGCTTGTTATTCCTCAGAAACCCAACTGTGACTCAGAGTCGCAGCAGAAAGGGTGCACGAGTCGACGTGGTTCCAGGAAAAGCACTGCTCAGGCATCCGGGCCCTTTCATCCACACCACCCGGCCTTTTCAACCACTTTCCCTTCCCTTTAGTGAGTATCAGAATACAAAATAGACGACTGAAAAAACGCACACGGTAACTCTAAAGCCAGGAGCCCCCAAAAGGAATGGTCATTGCCAAGATGAAGGAGTTTTCTACCAGTCTACAAAGTTAGGGCAACGGGGTTTCACAGCTTCCCTCTAACATACTTTTGTTAGAACCACAGATGTTTAGATGAGTCGTAATAGTTCGCTGCGAGTCAGATTCTGACAGTCCCCCCACAGCAGGAGCAAATGCACACCCTTAAAATAATTTTGTTTCTCTGTGACGAAGAACTAAAGATAGAACCAAACTTCGGCAGAGAAGCAGCAAGTCCACATGGAAGAAGCACACCGCCGGTGCGATCAAGAGGAGTCACAGGGACCGGGTAATAAGCATCGGCAGACGCATAACAAACAAACAAAAACATATTATTGAGAACGAAAGGGGTTGGAGCAGAGATCAAAAGCCCGTCTGTAGACAATGGAACAATCTCCCCAGAGGGGCCACAGGGCAGGGATGAGTCAACCAGGGTTCAATAAAGCATCAATGAAACACACTCTATTCCTCTGGTTTCTTGAGCCTTCCTCACCCCCCACTACCATGACCCCAGCGCTGCTTCTCAATTCAGACTCGACAGGAACATGTACACAGGTAAAGATAATAAGAGATGGGAGCTCCTGACACACAGAATCCAGGAACAGGAGTGGGAATAGTGATACCAGAAGGGTAGGGGGGATGGGGGAGGAAGAGGAAGGGAGAAAGGGGGAACCGATCACAATGATTGACACATAATCCATACATTCCTCCCTCTCCAGGGGGAAGAACAACAGAAAACATGGGGATGGGAGACAGTAGTCAGTGTGAGATATGAAAATAACAACAATGTACAATCTATCAAGGGGTTATGAAGGGTGGGGGGAGAGGAGCTGATACCAAGGGCTCAATAGAAAGTAAATGTCGGGCGGTGGGGTGGCAAAAAAAAAGGAAATGTCTAGAAAAGGATGAAGGCAACATCTGTACAAATTCGCCTGATACAAGCGATGCATGGATTATGACAAGAGTTATAAGAGTCCCCAATAAAATGATCTTTTAATAAAAATTAAAAATAGCGCCAACTCCAGGGCTCAGACACGTTAGATCTGCCTCACATTTGCCTAGCTGGCTTGGTCTTCACGACCTGAAGGGGCATACTTGTGCAACTCACACGGAAACTTAGCCTTTTTCATGGCATCCCTTCATCGCAGTACACGGGGGAGCCTACGCCAAGACATTCCGAAATCCAGACCCTCAGACTCCCTGTGCTGTGTGCGACGGACATACCTGAAAGTAGATGACCACCGCGAAGACGAAGACGGTGGCAATCAGGTTCATGAGGTTCGGGAGGTTCTGGCGGTAGAAGGCCTCGCGGAGGGCTCGCACTTTGTCAGTGCGTGTGGCCAGGAGATGGAAGAGGGCGATGATGGCCCCTTCAAACTCCATTCCTGCGGGTGAAGAACACATTAGGCACAGGAACAAACAGCTTGATACTAAGCTTCTCAGGGATCCAAGCAAAAAGGGAAAGGGAACTTGTTATGAGATTCCCTGCTGGTTTGTTGTACCGCAGTGGTTTGCCTGATGTTGTGATGCTGGAAGCGATGCCACTGTTATTACAAATACCAGCAGGGTCACCTACAGTCAACAGGAGCTTCCACACTAACAGACTATGATGAAGGCCCTGGTGACCTCCTTCTAAAAAGAGCCAATAAAAAGCAACTAATAGCAGCACACTGTCTGTACCAGAAGATGAGTCCTTTAGGTTGAAAAGCACTCAGTATATGACGGGGGGGAGCTGCCTCCTCAAAGTAGACTGATCTTAATAACCAGAATCAAGGACCTGCAGGTGCGATATGCTATGACTGAAAATGAGAAGAAGGAGCTGCCAAGACCCAGGAAGGAAGTATGCATCCAGAAAAATGGAGTTGTCAAAAGTAAAATGGAGTGTTTGAAAAAAGATATCCTAGGCCTTGGTGAGCTAAAAAGGTCTGGGACCAACCATTTAAAGTAGGATGATCCTATGTTTATTATACTGGGAATGACAAATTAAAGAATGGTGTCACATTCTTAGACAAAAAGAACACTTCAGGATCTACCCTGAAGAACAAAGCTGTCAGCGATATGGTAAAATAATATCCATATGCCTATAAAGATGATCAGTTAATTCAACTATTATTCAAATTTATGCACAAACCCTTAATGACAAAGATAATGAAATTAAAGATTTTATCAACTTGCACAGCCTGAAATTGATCAAGCATGCAATCAAGATGCACTGATGAATTACTGGTGACTGGAATGTGACAGTGTAAACAGAGACATGGAATTAGCAGATGAAAAGTTGACTTTACATGGTGCACTATAGCACCGATGAAACATACAACTTT